TTTAGCAAATGACGGTTTTGTCAGAAACCATGCTGATCACTGTGTATATAAGAAACAAGTTGATGATAAAATTGTTATCGTCATTGTTTGGTTTGATGACCTAATCATAGCTTCAGATAGTATGCAGTTAATGGAAGAATTTAAAGAAAGTATGAAGACACAATTTAAGATGAAAGATCTAGGTAGAATCACTTTCTTCCTTTGAATGGATTTTAAGCAAAGCAAGGGTGAAATAAAAATTAATCAGAAAAGATTCATTCTTAAAATACTAGAGAGATTTGGAATGATAGACTGCAAGCCCAGGTTAACCCCATGTGAGCAACGATTAGAATTTAACTGTGGTGAATTGACCAACGCCAGACAGTATAGAGAAATGATAGGAAGCCTAATTTATGCCATGACCTGTACAAGGCCTGATTTAAGTTGGATTGTAAGCAGACTGTCTCAAACTTTGTCAAACCCCAGAACGGGAGATTTAATTGCTGCCAAACATGTCCTAAGGTATCTAAAGGGTACCGTGGATTATGAACTCTGCTTTAAGAAATCTGATGCTGACTTGCAGCTCACTGCTTATAGTGATTCAGATTGGGCCTCTTGCCTGGAAGACAGGCGAAGTACTACAGGTTACTGTTGTACTCTAACCGAAGGAGGACCACTGATTTCATGGAAGTCGAGAAAGCAACCAACGGTTGCCATTTCCACTTGCGAAGCTGAATATGTAGCTTTAGCAAATACAGCTCAAGAGTGTTTGTATCTAACTCAATTGTTAAACGGTATGTATAAGAAAGTACATCAGAGTATGAAGGTAAGTGTTGATAACCAAGGGGCAATTGCACTAAGTAAGAACCCAGTTAACAGACAACGCTCTAAGCATATTGACATAAAGTACCACTTTGTACGTGAAATGTATGTTAAAGGCATGATCGATATTGTATATTGTCCTACCCAAGATATGGTAGCTGATATCCTAACAAAGCCACCCACAAAATGTAAACTAGATAATTTTAAAAGTATCGTATTCGGTTGTGGTAATTAGTTTATATTCTGATAACAAGTGAGGGTGTTGAGTTCAATATAAAACTGTATGTTATCCAAATATTAGTATGACGTAATACTGAGAGACAAATGCATGATGGGATTGTTGTGTTGTTAGTTGAACTTCCTCGTGAAAGCAACTTACTGTACAAAACTACATTTGTAATAAACGTGAAAATAAAGAGTGATTTCATTACAAATACGGTGTTCTAAAGTCATGGCTTCAACATTCTTCCTGTCTGTTCTCTCTGCAATGGGTTCTTGGCAAGTTGAAAACTATAAAATGAGTTTACATAATATTCTAGTCCAAGATCTTGTCGTTGCCGAGTAAATCAGTTAGAAAGGTAATGCCTGCGATTTGCGTTCTACAAGTGCCGTTCATCATTTCACGATGTCTGATTCACTGCCTCTATTAAACTGTAGGCAAAGCAACAGAGGTCATAGTAAAATATATTTCTTAAAATTGCTGAAATTTTACATTCTCCCCCTTATTTGCCAGTATTTTTGCGAGTATACACATGCCTGTAAACTATGTACAATTAGCTCATTAATTAAGGTGGCTCCCTACAGTTTTGTAACTAAGAACAGTCAATAGCACTTTAAGGTTTATTATTTCTTTTGCTTAAAACGTATGCTAACGAAACTTGGAGACAACATTGTTACAGTATACTGGAATACGAGAAGTGATAAATATTTTCATATTGTTTCGTTACCATGGCAACAAGGCAATTTGAAAAAGGCCTTATTTTTACATTCTTTCTCAGATTTTTAGAATTTCCTTCGGTAAAAGTTTTTAATTTTCTGCACACGAGGATCTAAAGTATAATTCTTTCAAAAAAGAGTTTTTTACAAAAATCGTACGAGCCAATTTTTTGTAATTCTCAAAAAACCCTGTTTTTGGAATTAAAAAAATTCGGCTCGTACGATTTTTTTTTAAATCACATATTTTATGCATTTTGTGATTGCCATAAAGTGTGCAAAATTTTAAAAAAGTTTACCGAAGGAAACAAGAGAAAAATGCACTTGTTTTCTTGCGTATGACGTCGAAAAAATCAGGATTTCAATTTCCGCGCGGGGCTATTCCCACGCGTGGGGCTAAGATTGGCATTTTGTTTTCAAAATTTATGAAATCTGACTTCCATAATATTTATGATTTGTTTGAGACTATTGAAAACAGAAAGTAGAGTACATGTATATCTGAAACGGTAAGAATGGAAAAACTATTTTGCCCTAAACGTCTAAATTTGCACTTGCTGTGTGATTGTGTTGAAAACCCGTAAAACTATTCAAGACTATTAAAATCATTTCGCTAAAGATCTGTTTCATGAAGTGGATCTACTTTTATAACATTAAAAACAAAACGCTAGACGAGTCAAGTTGAATATGAAGAGCAACGAAGTCTCGATATTAACTATTACATACTGATAAATATTACAGTGACACATAATTGTCATAATTGTTTGTACTTTGTAGTCCAGTCACTGAGTCCAGCATTTCAAAAACATAATTAATATTGTTTCGACTTTTGATAAGTCGAAGATTTTGAACTTTTTAAAAACCAATACTAACCGTTAAAACGTGAAAAACATACCAAACAAAAGTTTAATAACTGGTCAACAACATATGTACTTTTAATAATTTCAACTACGTAGGATTAAAAATGCTGGTGTCGTTCTTTTCAAGATGAGCACTCAAAAATTATTTCGCCGGCTTGTCCGCTTGTGTAAAAAACACTACGAATTTTCCACGCGCACGACGCGAAAATGACGTCTGACTAAATCAACTTCAAATTCTACCAATAACTGTAGGGAGCCTCCTTAACTTACTGTATAAAACGATTATAAAAATATTATAGAACTAGGGGCTTTTGAACAAAAAACCTGAAAAGGTTTCATGAGGGCTCCTAGCCCGTCATATTGTATACATTGAAAATTGTAAATATTTACTTTTCAATATGGGCAAATAAAAATGAAAAAAAAAACCCAAATATTATATTTCTGAGTTCGTTGCAACCATAGATATCTTATATACACTAGATAGCGCATCTATTTTAGTAAAATTGAAGCCAAGAATATTCCAGCGGTTACCTCCATTTGAATAGATGGCGGCCATGTTGGTCGTTCCCACTTCCTAATAAACGCTTAAAAACAACAATAACTTTCATCATTTGAATAGTTTAAAAACGTATTTGGAATAGGGTTAACTTCATGTTTAAGTTCCGTGTTTAAGAAATAGAAAATATACGAATCTTCTCATTTCATGGGAACGACCTGAGACTGCAATCACGGCTTCAATTTTTGAATTGCTGAATAATTAGATGCACTATCTAGTGTATATAAGATATCTATGGTTGCAACACCACATAAATGCCTAATATATATATATACCTTAAATAGCCGGACTAACGTTATCACGCAGCGAATATAAAGGGATGCCTAACTTCGTATTTCGATTGCGCACCGCAATTGCAATTCAAAAGATTATTAATCAGCCTCTACATGTTAAAGCCTCGCTTGTTCGAATTTTCTTGCTGCCAATACCAAGTAAACGTTTTGTCAATGACAAGCACGTATATATATTAATTTCTATATCATGCACCTGCGGTGTTGTTTGGCTTTCTTTTCGTTAATTTAACTTAATTAATTAAACTTCAATTTCATGTTAGAATCGCTAAAACCATTATGATGCTCTTAGTTTACTTTATCGCAATTATTAAAGGCAGTTATAGGACTGACACTTCATTGCCTGATAGCAGAATGATGGGTTGGGGTTGAGAAGTGGGTAGCGAAAAATTAGGGAGGCGAGGCGCGGGTAAGGTGTTCTGTCAATACAATTAGCGCGTATAAGTGATGCGGCGCCAGAAAGTCTCCAACAATTGTTGCAGAGGGAGACAATTGTTTTACTGTAAAGAAAAATTATTGTTCTGTCTATTCAAACCTGGGGTTCTGGCACATTTTCTCCCGTGAAAATTTTTGAATTTTGAGTCTCTGGAGCAGTATTTCATCGTCTTGCGTTTTGAAGCCCTCTGCGGCCAAATACAATTGCATGTATTTAACAATATGTTTAACAACACTAGAAAACACGATGGTTACAAAACATAGTTGGTTGGGTTGGTTCGTACCTATATGTGAACAGACTTTGACAATGTGATCAGTTGCAAAATTAATGATTATAATTTATGACAATAAGAAGCACTAAACTATATAGAAATTATCGTTCTCATAAACACGGCCCACTTTTACTGAGAACCGGTCAAAAACATGTTCATATTAGGTATAGGTACTTGCCTTAAATATATCGAAAATGAGCAAAATTATAGAAAATACGATATTTATAAGCAGATGTTCATGTTTACTTTCAATTTAGTTATACTTGTCAAGCATCAACTTGAATAAGGTAGATAATGCTTTCTGCCAGTTCCTTGTGATGCTTTGTCAATATAAGGACGTCTACATTTCCATCCACCTGCCACGTTGTTTGACTTTAGGCCCGGTTTAGACGGCGAACTTCTCATGCGCCGAATCTAATGCAAGAATTAAGAGCAACGCTGAGGCGGTGTCTAAATCAATTAAGTTCGACAGGTTTTGATTAAGTTCGACATGACTCGAAGATGCGACAAGACAAGTCGTATATGCGACACAGGTTCGACATTGATTTAGACGCCATGCTTTTCATGCGCCGAACCTAATGCATAATTATTTTTTAACATCATAATATGATTATCATATATTTGCATTGTAAATATGTCCAATATCGTGTCCTCGCAATTTGGTACGGTACAATTAAGTTCGACGTCTAAATCAGCTTCCGATATTTTGCCGTATCTACGACAATTAGATTCGGCGCATGAAAAGTTCGCCGTTTAAACCGGGCCTTAGTTTCCTTAACTACGCAATTGACTTTATACAGTTGATCATATTTGTCAGTTCATTGAGTAACGATGCACACGATGCGCTTATTGTTGTTGAACATTTTAACTTGCTTTATCGCAGTTAGCCAATGCAAATCACAATACTCCTCGAAGAGACAAAAGTATTTCAAGAAAGTAAAAGATCATGGTATGTGTAATAACGTATTATTGAAAACAGACTCATGGTGCTAATTGTACTTGAGCTAGAAACTAGAATAAAAAAGGGAGAAAAACGAGATATGAAAAAGTAGTTTCCTATTTATTCTGACACTGCAGCCCATTGATTCGATGGCTCGTTGGATATATAGAGTGGCGGAGTGGAACTGATTTGATTTTTACCATGCGTAACATCATATCCTGCGAGTATAGACATATAAAGCAGTATTAATAATAGATCGCTAGACTGAAAATAGTGGAAATATCGACGTTTTGAGAAGAACCGGATGAATATTACCGATACTCTACCAACCACTATAGTTATTTCATAAAGCTGCATGCAGGTCCCAAAAAATTTTTTAGACTGTTAACTCAATTTTATGGAAAATTTTACCGGAAAATAATTTATTATGGTACCGTAGAATACTGCGTTGTTATTAATTAAGTGTTTTAAAGCATCATGATAATGCACCGACTACTTCAAATAGATATATGTCAAATGGTGACTTTTGCGAAGGTTTAATGGACTGGTTTAGAAAACACGACATGAACTGAAAGACGCGCCTTCGAAACAAAAAAAAAATTCATGCAAAAAAAAAATTGAATAATCTGTGGTTCCTAGGGGTATCCTCAACAACGTTATCATTCTGAATGCAATGTTAAATTAAGATTTTCACGTCATTGGAGCAACGTGAATGCTTGTTGCGACGTTGGAAGAGTTACATAAAATATGTCTCATATAGCAGACACCGGATGGTTTCCCGACCTTAGCCGTCAGTTGGAAGATTATTATAAAAAGCTTGAATTTATTACAGAAATGAAGTTCCGTCGCTCTCAATCTTGAGTGAAATTGAGATTGCGTTGTCATATCTAAATCTGTCTAATATTGAGGGAGTAAGGTTAAAATAGCTCATGCAGTCTTGTTATTTAAATCATGCACATAATAGGAATAGCCAAAATTCCTGATCAGACTTGCGCAAAGATAGAAAAGATAACCAATAGGTAATTTAACCAGGTTAGTTTACCACAAGTGACCGGATTAGTTTTTTTAGTTTAAATTATAACCAAGTAATTTTCTATTTTATACATTTGGAAGATTTTGTATTATTTACAATATATTTGTAGAATCGCATGTACTATTGAACCGTTATTATAAAAATAATATTAGCTAAATAATTTTTTAAAAAAGGGGAACTGTTGCCACCAGAAGAAATTATATCCATCCATGCTGTCCATTCAAAAGTTGAATGTTCCTTGAAATGTCTTCAAAAATCGACATGTGTTGGTTATAACTACAAACCTGAATCAAAAGAATATGCAGTGAATTGTCAACTGAGCAATAAAATTCAAGAAAGAGAGAGCGATCAAAGTGAAGAATGGACGTTTTATCAAGATCTGGAAACGGTGAGTAACTGTGAACATTCTATTCGTTGCAAAATGTTCAGGATAATCGCTTTTAGCGTATATATTAGGCAGGTGGATAGTGCTTTTCGTGCAATTAGAATTATTATTAGATCGCTTGCTCAGCTCCGGATACCTTGCATTATTCAACTTCCGACCAAAACAAAATGTCTTCCCGTAATTTTGCTCCGGATGAACAATTTTTTGGCTAAACGAAGTTGCGGTTCCCCCAAACACAAAGAAAGTCACAAACTTTTGTTTGACAGCGCGTAGAGGAAACTATTGGTTGCCGGAGCGTCAGCGAGGCAGCACACTGACGTGCTATGGTTTCTCCAGAGTGGACTCGACCCAGTTTTTCGCGCGATCTATATGCATTGTCGAGATCTCGATCTGGGGCCGGTTGTGCGAAGGCCGGATAGCGCTATCCACCGGATAGTGATTTTTTCAAGCTTTGTTAAATCAGTCGTTGATTGGAATAACTCGTATTGAAGTTTAGTATTTATAAGTTAAATGTTATTTATTTTTCTTGTGTCGTCTATATCCGAGTCTCACAGTTTTTCAAGCATTTTACGAAGGTTGAAAAAATCACTATCCGGTGGATAGCGCCATCCGACCTTCGTACAACCGACCCCAGCGTGTCTGTATGTAAGTAAAGTTGTTTGTCGTAATTCCGTGGAAATAGTTAAGCCTCGGGAGGTTTTTTAAAGGAGAGGGGCGATCAAACGTTATCTTGTATTGTGATCGCATGAATGCTTTCAGGATTTCAGTTGCGAGCTTATTTACATGCTGTATTATTATGTTGGATTTTCACGGTGGAAACGATCGATATTTTTTTGATAAATCAGGTATAAGAATGGCTTTATTTCGTTCTGGTGATATAAATGAAGGCATTTATACTTAGATCTGCTGTTTAGTATTCGATATGATGGAGGTATTGAAACAATATGTTTTATGAATCTATCATTTTATCAGCAGTTTTAATAACCCACTGATCGTCTAATTTTATACAAGGAGTCAAAATGTACTTTTAGTTTATTTGTGTGTGTGGCGATGTGCCAAGGCGATGAGTTTATAGTGCTCATTCTAGATGTTTATAGCAATGTGCTTTCAGAACGTTTTAAAAACAAACGCGGAATGTCATTGATTTATGCACGGCTTTAATAATTAATAATCAGGTTTAATAATTAAAGATTCCTATAGAAACCCAGTGTGGATTATTGTCTGCATATATTAACTTACAAGCTCACTCAACCGACTTTTGTACAAGGTATGACGGTCTGTTTTATATCTCTGAAATATGTCCATTGTTATAGCGTCATATGAAATAATCTTGTCGGCCTACTACATTTCAGATAATAATGCCCAAAATTTCTTTCTTATCATATAGCTAGTTTTGCAGTTCTGACTGAGTACAATCTTAATCATTACAATGAATGGTGTCATCTGAAGCTGACGTGAAATGTCAGCAAATATATGTTTTCTCCCAATCAGCAGATGATTCGGTTGTTCTGCGATAGTGGTAGCCTTGAAGGTGCCATTAAAAGATAATTGGGACAAAAACTGACTTAGTATTTCTATATATGATATTACTATACGCCCACCTGTCATTGACCAATCAGGGCTCTTCAATAGCAGCACGTGCCAGCCCGATATTTTACAATGTAGACAGGTTGATATTGGACAGTAGCTTATCGTGGAATTTTTTCTGGTTAATCAAACTTTTTCAGATGTTTTGTCAGTTACAAACACATCATAAATGATATGGCAAAGTAATAAAAAGAATTTGGAACGTTATGACTGTTTTTTGTACCAGTTTTAATTAT